TATGACAGCTTGGCATGGTAAGTACTGACAGCTATGACAGCTTGGCATGGTAAGTACTGATAGCTATGACAGCTTGGCATGGTAAGTACTGTCAACTATGGCAGCTTGGCATGGTAAGTACTGACAACTATGACAACTTGGCATGGTAAGCACTGACAACTATGACAACTTGGCTTGGTAAGCACTGACAACTAAGACAGCTTGGCATGGTAAGTACTGTCAACTATGACAGCTTGGCATGGTAAGCACTGACAACTAAGACAGCTTGGCATGGTAAGTACTGTCAACTATGGCAGCTTGGCATGGTAAGTACTGTCAACTATGGCAGCTTGGCATGGTAAGTACTGACAATTATGACAACTTGGCATGGTAAGTACTGATAACTATGACAGCTTGATTCCCAGTATATTACTTTTCACCAAAAATGACAGAAGTCCTCATCTAAATAAGAGAATTGAAGATATCATCACAAAATGAACAAGTCTAAGAAAAGTATACCCAAGCGACATAAACACTGAGTATCAAAGCAATCAGACTTGCAGTTTTCAAGAAGAAGTTGAAAAGTAAAAATGTTTAGACAATCACTCATACTCATAGTTCTGCTCGACAAATTCGTTAGGGAAGCTAAAATTGTAGTATACTATTTAAAATCATTAGGATTACCTATTTTAATCAACCATCACCTACCTGGGCTGATATCCCCTTTGCATCACCTCTAAGTTGTTGTATAACTTCACCTCTATGTATTACTTGAGCCATGGATTCACGGTGTTTCTCCTCCAAGTCTGCCATCTCAGCCCGTAGTTTTACCACCATATCATGCCTTTCTGCCACCTGAACAATAGATCAATTGTCAGTGAACAAATACAATTTAGGACATTTCTTATTTATGAAATACATCCCATTTTATAAGAAATTACACTGCATTCAACATGGGAAGATGAGGTTATTTCAACATTCTGGCTGTACTATTTAACGACAGAGACAGTGGTAGTTCAACTCACCTCTTGTGCCAGTGCATCTCTTGTGTCTTTGGAAGCTGCCTGCAGCTTGTTAAGACTATCCGTCAGTTTCTCAACTTGAATCGATGAATCATTGTACTTTGTGCGAAGAGCCTGCAGTTCATTTTGCAACTGAGCATTACTGCGTTCCGATACTGACAACTGCTCTCGGTTACTGGTATATTGTTTGCGTAGGTTTTCCAGTTCTTGTTCGAGTTGCTTTGATGTAGACTCTAGTTTCTGTGCCTACGTAGAAATCATAATGTGTTATCATGATGACCTTAATACTTGCAATACTAAGGTCATTTGCAATTAATATAGACATGTAAAAGTAAACAAGTGACAAGAGCTACGTTCTCACATGTCTAAAAAACGCCGGTGTTGACACTGTTTTTTTGTTGTGTAAATATTAGCTAATCTACTGAATTGTCTGCTCGCGTTCTCACTTAGTAAAAAACACAGATGTTTTGTGCCCACAGCAAATCATATCACAGAAAGGTCAATAAACAAATGGAAGGTCAATCGACAAAATGGCGTCCCCTCTGGTAAATGCATTTGCTTTGTTTCTGTTTTTCCGTGTATTTTTTTACGCTCGAGAAGAAGGCAAAGCCGATCTGGTCCACCCCTTTTAGGACGGTGTCAAAAACGCCGGCGCCACAACGGCGTATTCTGTTAACACACACCTTTTAACAACGTTTTCAACAACGGCGTATTTCGTCCACCACTTACGACTCAAATTTTGTTTGTCAACAAAAATATATTATTGCATCAGATCACCGTCCCATTGGTTCAACAAACACATTAAGCATTTCACTTTTTTTTTTTTTTAAATGTACATAATTTCTAAGTCTAACATACATAAGATTTTGAGAAATTTAACTACTACAAAGTGTTCTATTTTATATGGGAACTCAGATGTACAAATTTTTAGTCAAATATTGTTCACAAAATGTAATGTACTTTAATCTCAAACCTGAAAAATATTTGTTAGTCAGTTTTCAGTAAATCAGTTACCGGTATCGTTGCAATTTGTCACGCATTGATATTATAACATATTTTGAGTGTTACAAATGTTGACAAGTAAAGTGACTTAGTTATACACAAAAGGAGGCAATAATGAAGGAGGGTTTATAAAAACAAGAATGCAATTATAGGAACTTACCTCTTCTTGACTTCCCTTTTGTTTGTCTGATATCATTTGCATTTTTCTGTCCTGTTTCTCCAGCTGTAGAGAGGAAGACGATTGATACATGACTGACTGATATATCACAAATAAAAACTCTCAATGCCAATGGTTATGTAATACTATGACATTCTTGTTTACTGGTATGCCTCAATTATAGATGACCTTTCACCTTGAAATGACTGAATATTATTTACTAGCAATATATTCATAATATTTACATATTTGGCTAGTTTGAGGTTAAGCGCATAATAATAAACAAACAAAGCAAAATATTTAATATATTAATTCAGCTATAATTTCCAGTGTTGTTATTGGGGTAGGGGGGTGCAATGTATTGTTTATTTGTATTGTATTATTCCAGTGTTGTTATTGGGGTGGGGGTGCAATGTATTGTTTATTTGTATTGTATTATTCCAGTGTTGTTATTGGGGTGGGGGTGCAATGTATTGTTTATTTGTATTGTATTATTCCAGTGTTGTTATTGGGGTGGGGGGTGCAATGTATTGTTTATTTGTATTGTATTATTCCAGTGTTGTTATTGGGGTGGGGGTGCAATGTATTGTTTATTTGTATTGTATTATTCCAGTGTTGTTATTGGGGTGGGGGTGCAATGTATTGTTTATTTGTATTGTATTATTCCAGTGTTGTTATTGGGGGGGGGGGTGCAATGTATTGTATTATTCCCAGAGGAGTAACAGCTGTAACAAAGTATTTTTCATGTGCATAGCAAACCAGGTTCCTTTCGGAGAAAATGGTGCAGCCCAAAAATGTTTTGCTCTAACTTTTGTCTGATAACAACCTTTGTGGCAGGAAATATGACAAAACATTGGACAGAAGAACTGCATATACCCGTAATTAGAAAATTAGTGTTGATTAATGAAGAAGTTCATTGGCACCATTACCATGCTTCAATTTTCATTTTCATTGTATTATGGATAATATATATACTTCTCATATATTATTCATATGCAAATTAATCACCATATTTGGGAATAAAGTTGGGGAGAAAACTAATTAACTTACCTCATTAATACTAGCATCGTATTTCTCTTGAGTTACAAGTATTTCATTTCTCAGTTTCTGTATTGTATCGTCTCTCCTAGCGAGTTCAGAACGAAGCACTTCATGGTGGTCTTGAGTAGATATCTGGCTTTCTCTGATCCGTGCTTGAAGATTACCGATCTAAAAACCAAATAATTATATCAGTGTGTGCTGAACAGTACATGGTATATTATTTAACAAGAGGAAATGACATTTTTTTTTATTTATTTATTCATTCAATATTTTTATACAGGCTATAACTTACAACTTGGCTATAAATAACTCCAGTGAGGCCCTGTAACATACAACTCACATACAGCAGAAATTATACAAAATAGTACGGATATATACAATAAAATAAGAAGCAATCGATATAGTCAAATTTTTAGGTACATAGGCACTATATTTCTTTAAGTTGCATATATTTAGAATTTCACAATTACAAAAATCTCCACAGTTTACCACCCTGATATTTAGAACCCCTTTTATTTATAGACAAATTTTACGATTATATGTCATTGTCTTACCTCATCAACGGTTTTCCGTCTTTGTTCCTGGGACTGCTTGAGTTCAGATTCTAAAGTTTTGATTCTTCTTTCAAAATGAGTAACCTGGGAAACGTAATAAACAGTAAATCAAATCCTTTGTACTGGTATTATATTGATGGTAAGACTTAATTTCATCGCGCTGTGAGTGAGTATTGAGAACAACAAATATTTCAGACAAAACTTAATGAGGTTCTAGCCGAATTGAAGATTACATTTAATTTTTGCTAATATTATGGATTTACAGCATCAGGATACTGAAACTGATAAAAATACACGAATCTAAAATATGAAAAATCTTCATTTTTGCACTTTCTATACTGAGATTACTTCTTCATATCTCTTAATTTTGCTCAGTGATATGCGATGAAAAAGTCACAAATTATTATTGATATATATTGATCCTAATATTGTTGAAAAATTTCAAAAAATAGATATATAATTTAGTTTTTCATTAAATGCAATGGAAAGTTCTCTCCCATAATGCATTGCATATATGTACATAACATGCTTGGCGGTTTAAAATTTGAATTTTGCTCAAACTAATTCAAGAGTAAATAACTTTATGTCAATCATACAATCAACACACACACACCTACAACATTATAAAATACTTATATGCGAGAACAAATATATAAACTTTCAGAGAACATACATACATATCGTGCAGTGGATACATTAAATGACATGTGCAGAAAACTTACATCACATGACACCTGTCTGTGTTGATCCTTTGCGTTGGACAAATCAGCTTTTAGCTGTCTTATTTGGTCTTCTCTTTTAGCAATCTACACACCAATGGGAGCAACAATTCACATGCAGTGAGTTGGGGGGGGGTACAAAGTGAGTTTAGAGTGAAATAGAAACAAGGGACATGAAAATTGGGGAACATGCAATGAAGATGAAAATATATCATGCAATTAACAAAACATTAACACAAATGTTATCATGATTTTAAATATCATCCAATATTACCATTAAATCTCTAATATAAGCAATAACATGTATTACAATTTTGCATCAAATTTCAAAGTATTCAGTCTGGGTGTGGTTTGTAAATAATACATACAATGAATGCATATTGTAGATATCTGTACTATTTTTACTACAAACCAAACTTTTATATGTTACATATGAATAAATACAGTCAACAAATTGCAATACTGTACAATGTCTCCAAATTAGAAGATGACATATTTCACATAGCAGGATGACGATGGGATAGCAAAATATAGAAATAGAAGTTGACAGAAAGATCATTTTTGTGAATGCTGTTGTTTTGAGCTAATAATTAAATAAAACAATAGCTTATATTAGGACTTTAGAGGTATTTATTTACAGAATTTCATTGTACAAGTTACATGTACACATGTTAGCATTGTAACATATTCTATATATGAATGCGCTGAGCTAGTATGGTGGTTCGTGTCAACTTACCTCCAGTGAACCATCATTTTGTTTTTCTTTAAACAGCTGAATGGTTTGAAGAAGATTACCACTCTAACAAAAAATAAAATGAATTATGAATAAACAGTTGTATCACTAAAATACAGCTCAATAAAGTTGTAAGTGACGAGGAAATAAAACAAGCGGAATACATTACCTCTGTATCTTTCATAGCTATTGTATTGTGAAGATCTGTAATATTAGACTGTAGACTTTGAATTGTGCGGTCTTTATCAGCAAGCTATGAAAAAACACAATTAGTTTTTGGTGCAATCTGACAATATGTAATATATCTACCGGTACTGCATGTATGTATTGGGGTCTAAAAACTAACTCTGCGACGCGATTGTGCGACTCGCCGAATGTCGATTATTGCACTCTGCGACAGGATCACAGTGTCACTCTGCGAAGAGCACGATTCCTATTGGTTGGTGGGTCGAACAGCGCGAATCCCAATGGTCGATGTTCACTGCATGACTTATAAAAAAATAAGTTTTAAATGGGAAAAATGATACAGTAAAAAACAAAAGTGTGTAAACACTATGTACCGGCGACATGCTGTTCGGTGATCGGCAAGCACATAGAAGACAAATTGTGGGACCAAACAAATAACACATGGTTTACGGTGATTGCACACATCACACCGCTGGCTAGAAAAATTAAATAGTGTAACGTGCACATTGTTTTTGACTGCCTATTTACGGTGTAACGTTATCGCCATCTTGGAGTTGTAAGGCTTCGTCCTGACGACTATGCTCATTAGCATAGGCGGCAGCTTCAAAGCGAGTGGAACGCGAAGTACTTTTCGCGCGTTCTGCAACGAATGTTGTACGTCAGCTTTGACTTTGTTGAGTGCATCAGGGAAAATAATTTGCATGCAGTGAAAAAAAATCATTCACGATGTGCAACGTTTTGCCATGACCACTTGTTTGCAATCATCTGCCTTCGTTTAGACCATAAACAGACGCCAAACTTGTGGTCTACGATCGATTAGCTGGTATTTTAACCAGAAATGAAATACTTTGTAACAGTTGTGAAAAGTAAACAAAAACGGCGTTGGTTTGTGGTATGAATGGAATTATTTTTGTATCATAATTTTCGAAGTATTACTGCAAATTATGGTTTATTTTTTTTAAATGAACGCCATATTTCGGTGGTCAATATTGATCTTAATATAGCGGGAGGGGAATTTTTTTTTTTATCTTGATTTTTCAATAATTGAAAATTTGTACCTTGATTCATCATCCCAGCTTTTTGAAATTTCCAGCTCAAGCGCTAATACTACTACAGTTTCGTTAATATTTGCATAATGTTTCTAACATGTATATGTATATGTATACATTGTACTACCGGTAATACTCTGTTGTTGACAATTCTGATAGAACGGGTGACAAGCTTCCTGTCGCAAACAATGCATATTTATCTAACGTCCATTGTCAGCATTATTATCAGTCAAGACTTTGTCTGAGAAATCGTTTTATTTTCTAAGTCTATATTTTATTTTAATAACACCATCTTACTAACGCAATGACGATGTAAAAAAAAGCAAAGACGCCAATGACAAGATGAGGCAAAGAAAAATCTGCAACTAAGGGTCATATTTACTAATTTAAACTTGCCTACAGCCTGTCGTGATTCCGATATAAAATTACAGGACTTTCGCGTTCACCCCTCGTTTACGCAATTTATATTTATTTTTCAAGAAATTTATTTTTCATCTAGGTCATATTATGACCAACCTCGCGAGTGGTTCGAAAGGGACGACTAGGCTGAAATATTCGCATCAACATGAAAGACTTTCAACTACTTAACCGATGACGACACCGATACGTGAGACCGTTGAGGGTCGGTGATCAGACGAAGAAGTGAGTACAGGAAATCTGTTGCTCGTCGACATCGGCAAATAAACAAAACCATCGTTCCGTTTATGCAGAGAGCGTGACACTGCTGTTTTAGTTTTCTATCTTCAGCAGTAGTTTTAATCCATTCACATAGCTTTACGTTTCCTCTTAATATTCTTAATAAAACGATATTGATTGCCTAGAAACAGTTTTACCCGCTACACGCTTTATTTGGGAATTTAAAGCGATGAATATAGTCATAACAAATTATTCTTGCTAATGAAAAAAAATAACGTAACATCGTGTGAAACGTACTTCGTGCTCTACTCGCTTTAAAGCTGCCGCCTATGCTAATGAGCATTGTTGCGGACGAAGCCTTACAACTTCAAGATGGCGTTAATGTTACCAGCTCCCTGATGTTACACCGTAATAAGGCAGCCAACACCAACGTGCATGTGTTTTGTAACCCCTTTTATCCCCTCCGGAGGATGTTATATATGTCAATAAATCAATGTTAAATACTTGCTGATTACCGAACCCTGCGGCATGTCGGCGGTAAATACTTGTTTACCGTAGTTCGCGAGCAGTCGGCGAAATAACCATTTAAAACTAAACATTTCCATAAGGCATGCTGTGTACCCTTACATCGATCGACCATTGAGATTCACGCTTTTCGACCAACCAACCAATGGGAATCATGCTCTTCGCAGAGTGACACTGCGATCCTGTCGCAGAGTGCAATAATCGACATTCGGCAAGTCGCACAATCGCGTCGCAGAGTTAGTTTTTAGACCCCCATACATACCTCGGTACTGATAAAAACAATAGATGGTAATTCCAACACTGGTATTGGAGAGTGCATACTGGCCAAAAACACTATATTCCTATCAAATTTTGATTTGGAACAGTCTTTGTGTATAGTTTTCTCCGTAATAAACTCATATACAGTAAAGGATTTAATTTCCATAACTTCATAAGTTTATGATATTTTTGAAGATCATGAAAATCATTGCAATTTTCACTGCTACAAAATTTCATGTTTTTCATTAAAAACATTTGTCTCTCGTAAAAGTAAAGAAGAGTAATCTCACCTCATGTAAAGCATCTTTATGAGTTTGTTCTTCTTGTCTAAGATCAGTTTTTAATTTCATAATAATGATGTCTTTATCAGTAGCAGCCCCAATCTGTCTCTGTTCTCTGTCATGTATCTGAGACAATGTATTCTTCATCGATTCTATCATGACATCTTTTCGTTCCATCTACAAAAAAACAGAATTCAAACTGATCCATATATCAACACCATGCACGACATAATGATGAATAGTTGCTTGTAACACTGTACACTGTTCTCAGGATTTTATGGCATTCATTAAGAAGAAATTTTGCAAAAGTCAATGACACTATGTCATAGAACCCAAAACAAAATTTTCACTGCTAAAATTTTTTTTATTGCGAAATCAAAATGGTTTACAATAAGTCAAATGTATGTTCTATTTTACTAATAGACTATGATTACAATTTCATAGCATTAGCAGTGGTGACTAACACTGTGATAAAGATACAAGAAAAGTTTCACTACAGACCTGGCACTTTTAACATAGTAACATGAGAGTTTAAAGAAGCTATGAATTGGAAATCAACATGGAAGAAAAGTAAAGATACCGGTAGATAGAATATAGACTGGTGAAGCCTTTCTGAGTCTTGATTTGGATGAGTGATACAGTAGGTGAGTAGAGTAATCACTCTCCTTAGAAAGTAAGGTATGCAATACTGAATGCACCCCAGACTTGTATCAAATATCACTGGTAGATTGGTTTTCCTGTGGTTGAGACTGCCACTGCTTGGTACATGCTTTGTAGTGATACATGTACATGGACACCATTTTAAATCCAAATCTGCCACAATCTCACTCAATCTCACCTCTTCCATAGATGTTTTCTGTGTATCTCCCAGTGCTTTCAAGTCAACTTGCAGTTTACTGATCATATTATCACGGTGTGATAACTGCTGTTTCAACTCATGAATATGTTTCTGCTTTCTCTCATCAGCACTCGGAAAATCTGATGTGCATGATCCAAGAACATCATGTGAGGAGATCGTTCTGAAGTCATAGTCACCAAACTGAAAAGAAAGTCAGTATGTTGTCAGCATCTATTTTGAAATAAGTTCAACATGAATACTGTTGACATTGGACTGTAGTGATGATATTTTAAGCCCTGTTTCGTGTTCACACTAGTACTGACTGATATCCATCTGTAATGCTTATTTTTAAGCATATTCACATTAGCAAAAAGTGTTTCACTTGTTTTTTCTCAAAAGTCTGTGTAACTTACACCGACGTAAAGAGAAATAAAAATTTAGGTAAGCACGCTATCTTTTAGCTCTGTAATCTGTGTTTCAATCTATTGGCTTTATTAAGAATAAACATTTAAAGCAGATAAAATTACAAGAAGTAAAACAAATTTGTACCATAACAGTGACGCATTCAATAACTGCAAACTGTTAAACTCACCTCCCATTTCCCACTAGCCCTAGCCTGACCTATGACCCCAATTAGTGAATGGACATCATGATGTAAATCATTATTCTCAGCTCTCAGCCCTTCAGATTCTTCTTTTATTCTCTCAAATCGATGTTGAAGATCCTAAAACACATCCCATTATTGAAATTATGCACATACTATGGATCACATAATACAAGTTTTTAATCAACATTATATTCTGTGGCTTTCATATGCACAGAAACACACAAGTATGGAAACACACAACATTGTATCGCTTGTATACTTGGGAAAGTTTGTTATATGAGTAAAGACAACGGTTATCCAAATATCTCTGAAACAGGTGTGGAAATTATAGGCTATACTAGGGAGTGATGTTTTGAATGCATCCAATGCATTTATTCAATATAGCATGGTTTTTAATCATTATATATGGATGATTATTTATGTATTGAATAATTGTAAACAAATTTCATTACATGGAGAAGTAATGAATATTTATGTAGTAAATATATGTGAATAATATCAATGCTTGGTTTTAATGTAATGTCAATGCCATGTGCCACAAAGAGCGCCCTCAAACTTTGACCATCAGCATTCATGACAATATACTAGTACTAGACAAGAACAGTAGCGACTTACATCAACATGCTGTTCTAATTTATCTTTCTCTATTGCCATTGATTTCATGTTATGCTCTAAATTACGTGCTTTCGTCATGTAATCCTGTAAAAATAACAGAAATATGCAAATATTACTTGATTTTTTCTTTGGAACATGTTTTATTATTATTATCAGATAAACCTGAATAAAGTGCTGTTTGTGTCATACACCAATGTTTTCCACCAGACAAAATGTTGATAGCCTTGATAACTCTAGTGTAGAGAGCACTTTATGATAAATTTCCTCCATATGTAGGTACTGATTTCACTTGGGTATTTCACATCTTTTATAGTTTGGGT